CCTCGCCAAAAAAATCTTGACTCTTCCATCGAATATGTGATTGCTTCATTCTTCATTAAGGATCATTATTTGTGTCATCTAACCATGAGCAAATTCCCGTCTTGGTTCACAAAAAATCACCTTTTTCGAATCAAATGTACTGGAAATGAGGCTCACAGATTTCCTTTGCGGGCTACAGGCAGAAATATCATCAAAAAATTGGTTTGTATCCCACTATAAATTTTAAGTCTAGGTTTGAGAGCAGTATTTTGGCGCATCCTCACCCGTTTAACTCTCATTAGCTCCCAAAAGCCCTAACGCACCTCTGGATCACAATTGATATGACCATTTCTCAAATAATTCTTGGATATTCGGGCAGCTTAATTTTTCTAAAATTTTTATTTGCAAATTTTGTGAAAATCGAATATATTTTGATAGACATCATTTATGAACGAACCCAAAAGAAACAATCAAAAAAATCTTTTAACATCAAATTCTATAAAGCAATAAACTTTCATATGACAGAGCTCGTATGAATGCAGAACAATAATGTTTATAGTCATATAGTTTTCGAGGAAAAATCAGAATCACATTAAATAGTTCTGACAAATATAAATACAAAAATGTGCCTGAAATGCTAGTATTTTATAACATTCCTTTTTAAAAAACTAAGAAATTGAAAATGAAGAAATTCTTTGTGAAATAAAAATTTTTTTATTCTTTGTGAGGGATTAAAAAAATAAATTGAAAAACTTGCAAAGAGATTTGCAGAATAAGAAATTTCATTTACTGTGTGCTTTATGTCCATTTTCTCAAGTGCATGAAAATACATAGTTTATATTTTTTTTCCCTCGTTGTTTTGCAATTCAAAATAGGAACAATCCATGATGACGACTACAATACTGAGAACGGAAGAGGAAAAATACATAATCGCAAAGTAATCTTGAGATTTTCTGCATCAGCTCCGTCCTTCTAGTTGGAAACTTGATTATGTCACACGTTGCTTTGTAAACGTATTTCAAAAAAAATTATAGTTTGTTCAATTTGCAAATACTTTTGATAAAGTTTTATTCAGGATTATCAAAATACGGCAAGATACGTAAAGCTTAGCTTTCCAACATTTCCTGTCATTTTAATTCAATTCATGTAATAAAAAAAAACTAGTCTGTGCATCATTTCCAATAAGATAAAGTCGTCGCGATTTTTGGAATGAGTAAATTTTTAAGACGCCTTAAGAAAAAAGTTTTGCAATTCCGCTATAGTCGTCTGGTCTAACAAGATTAAAATGAAATTTATTTTTTCTGTCTGATGTCATTCATAATTTTATGCGTTTTATATGGAAATGATTTTTGATGATGAATAGATTTCAATGAGAGGCATTTCGAATGCAGGAAAAAAACAACAATCCAAAATTTATGCTGCTAAATAATCCATACGGGATTCTTATTCATTCAAAATTTATTTATCTATGTTTGGCTTTGAAAATGAATACTACAATTACTCAAATGAGAAACCTCAAAATTTATATAAACACTTAACTTGAACTATTCATTTCCGAGATAAATTTATGTACTTTTCAATCGACATGAAAATCTCTAATGTATTGAAAAATTATCAAATATTTTCATAGTTTTCACAAGCTACATTTGCTCTTAATGAGATTAAAAATCCGATAAATTGTAAATCATGAAAATGTTAAATCTGAACTATAATTTCAAAATTAAATTGCCAAACATTTATCATTCTAGATTCCGATTTTATATTGAAAACTACATTTTTCCGTTATTTTATGTGGAATTTTCATTTCGTTCGAAAATAAATTTCCAATTTTAATTTTGAAAGGATTTTCAGTTGGGATGTGTAAATGAATAGAAATTTTGTCAACTGAACTGTGTGATTTGTGAACGCTTATGTATGCTAATGTGATAAAGTATGATGAAAAAAAAATTAAAGTTTTCAATTCAATTTTAAATTGCTAAATGTTTTATTATCCAGTGGCAATATAAAAAAAAAAGAATATTTCATGCTGCTCATCAAATTTGTCTTTTAATTCAATTTCATTTCTAGCGAGAAAAAGGTAAAGATGGAAGAATCTTGAAGCAATTTTTCATGAAGAAACAAATTCATTTCAAATGTATATATCCAAGGGTAATAAAAATTTATGCCGCATTAAAGAGGCAAAAAGTGAGGAAGGAAAAGGGAGCAAGGAGAAATTTATTTTGATTTATTTCTGATATTGAAGATGAAACCATCAAGTTCTGTGCAGTTATTTATGCCATACTTGCTTTTACCAGAGAGTATACACAGTTTTATGTTTTGTATACCTTTTTGCAGTCATTTTAGTATCTATTTCTGCGTAGAAATTTTCATTGTTTATCCATCTTATTCTCGACGATCTTATACAAACAATTTTGTAAGATTCATAAAAACCCTCCCGAGGCAAATAAAATTAATCCGTACACACATAAAAATTGTAACAAGCATAAAAAGTGTATAACAATCTTCGAATGCTCTTCCATTTTTACTTTCAAAAATTATTTTCGCGATTTATTGCCATTGTATAAAATACCAGTCAATTTTTATGCAATGTTAAAGTTAGAGTTAAGCAGCTCATGCTTTAATGCTGCCAAGTAGATTTTTTATTGATGGATTGTGGCAGTGTTTCTCAAACTCAACCCGCTGTCGCCAAGCAGCAGTTCTCAATGATCATAGTTTAAGATGCACTGTATCATGTCGACATAGATTGATTAAAAAATATTTGCAGCACATAAACAATTATCAAGATTTTATCAGCATGAATCAGGAATCAAACCAAAACCGAGTCTCTCAACCACAAAATAACACTCGTATAAACACTGGGAATGTAATATTCATCCTCATTACTGCAAGCATTATCACTTATAATCTCAGATTACATGGAATAGACATTTAATTGACCTCAACCATCATCGAGCTAAGAGATTGACCTTACTGAATCTGATATTAATTCATTCGACCTAACTGCATAAGTATACATGTATACCATCCTGAAACTGACGTAATTGGAATCGCATTTTATCCAAATGAATTTATGTTTCACATTTCTTCGTCTTTATAAACTTTTCTGCAACAAATGCCTGAAGTAATTTCACGTAACATGAAACTTTTCTGCTCTTACCGGTTTTCTTGCTTCCTCTTTTTTTTTTGCTACTGTAAATTAATTAACATCTGTAAAATTGGAGGTAAAAATGGATAAAGAAAGATCCAATTACATAACATTGTGATGTGAGAGAATAAAATGCTCCTGACATGCCTTAATTCTTCTGTTAAAAATTCTTCCTTCCGTATTCTCTTTTTTGGCTCTTTTCATGTGCCAACAATTGTAAAAAAGGATTTTTAACTATGAAAATTGTGCAACGACATGAATATCAAGCAATTAAAGAGCACAAAATGGTAATGAATCTTTCATAATCTGACAGAAATTTAATTAAAATTTTCTCACATTTCTGTTATATTTTTTTTTCAACATCAAGCATTTTTCATGTATGATACACATAACGTGACACATTCACACGTGAAAACTTTTTCATATTATTTTGTGATTTCATATTTTGCCACGAAAAATGTAAATTGATTTAGTGACTTTTTTTCTATTCTATGATGTTTTTGTGAAAGGTGGAAATTGAATTTGAGGGTGAATACATTAAGAAGAATTAATATCTCAAACAAACTCAAGACAGCCAAATGTCAAACAGCGTGTTTTATTTTGCTTGACACGACAGGTCTATTTATAGATTTAAGTGTAGGCGAGTCGTTTATAGAAATTAAAGATTTTATTTTTAGTAAAGCCTCATGTGGCATATAATTACGTTGAAAGACTTTTTCCATCATCAAGTTATAATGAGCTTATTGTTTCGTGGAAAAATATTATTCAATGTATAAGGGGACGATCACTTGTTACGTAATGCAAAAATCTGGATTTTAAGACTTTTAATGTGTAAAAAAAGAAAATATTGAATAAGCGAATTTCTTAGAATTATCAAAACCACACAAAGTAAATCTCAAGTTTTGAGCTAGAGATACTGAGTATTAATCTTGTATGGAATCTAATGTAGCGTGTTCCACCCACGCCTTCCAAAAAAAGCAAGCATAATAAATAATTGAACCCTCCCCTCCAAGAATTCAGACTAAATCAGCTTTCAGTTTAAAGATTTAAAGAATGTCGAATGCAACTAGTTTGACTTTTTCATTAAGACATAAAAATGCGGTGAAATAATAACAAAAATAATAGAAGAAGCAAAATAAATAAATTAATTAGACAGCCTCAGTTGGCATGCCACAAAGAAGCCTGTGAATACTCATTAAAATTCTTTTTCTTATCCACTACCATCCAGGTTTCTTTCCTTCTTTATTTTCTTACTCATTAAAATACTGACTCATCTCTTTTTCTAGCTCCTATTACCGCTTCATGCAATTCTTTTGTCAAATTTTGTCTTAATTAAAATAAAAAAAAAATCGTATTCATCTTCTCATCTCATTATCCCTCTAGATATGTATGTCAAATTAATTATTATTCATGAATGTCAGGTAAGAAAAAGAAGGAAAGGGGGTTGGTAGGAAATTAAGAAAATAATTAATTATTTAATCGGCTATGCGGTTTTAAATCATTAGCTTTCTTCAGTGATTTTGAATTGAAAATTTTGTTCTTTGTTTCAAAAATTGATTTAAAGTCTCAGCTAATTAGGCTTCTTTTAAATAATCTTTCTTGTTATTTTTGTTGGTTAGAAATGAAACTGTCTTAAAATAAAACATTGTATTAAAGAATAAAATCCTTCTAAAATCCGAGCTCCACCCCTGAACAATATCATAAAATCATGTGAACTTCTAAAAACACTTGTTGTTTCATTGAAAAATTCATAAAAATCTTTTGTGAAAAATGAGGAAATCTTTACTTGTAAATATGATAACAAACAACAAACCAATGATAAAATTATCATGTAAAAAATATTTTTTGCACAAGTATAAAAGCGGAAAATTCATTGTGCGAATTTGATAGTATTTCTCAAGTCTTCAAAATGAAGTGTAAGTGAATTTTCGTGTCAAAAATTAAATTAAATGTTGATTGATAATTTGTTTTAGACTGCATCGTAACACTTTTATTGGTATGCGCTGTATCAGCGGCTCCAGCAAATGAGAATGCGGAAGCGGATGTACAATCAGCTCAGTTTGGAATGAACCAATTTAATGCATATAACGCTCATCTTCCATATTATTATCCAGGAATGTACAAACAAAACTCAATGGACTATGGTTCTGAACACCATCAAGGTGCTTTAAATCCAGAAAAATATATGAGTATGAAGGATGAGGACTTCCCAGTTGATTATAGCTTACAATGCTCAAACTCTTGTGGATGTCGTCAAACATGTACAGTTATTTGGTGGCAACCATGCACGTAAGGACAATTTAAAAAAAAATGTGAATGGTTCATTTTAAATATTAATGCATGCTTATTAGATGCCGATGCCCACCACCTTGTGGATGTAATGGATGTATTTGGGGATGCTGTGGAAATACATGCTGTAATCAGTAAGTTTTAATAAAATTAATTTTTTTTATCAATTTAAAAAAGTGAAAAAATATTTTAGAGGAACCACATCTACAACAACACCTACAACAACTACAACAACCCCAACAACAACAACAACCGTTACAACAACGTAAAATTAATTTTTTTAATTTTTAAGGTTAATTCAAATAATAATTTCAATTTTTTTTATAAATAGACGAGCACCTGATGCAGGTGTACCAACAAATCCACCTTGTAATGGAGGATCATGCTGTAATAGTTGCTCATGCATGCCTTGCATGATGCCTATTTTCTGGATGTGCCCACCAAGGTAGAAATATTTGAATTTCATTAAGTTTCAAATTATTCAAATCATATTTTTAATCAAAATAGATGCGGAGGTGGATGCTGCGGAGGATCATCAAATAGCTGCTGCAATGGAACAAACAATAGCTGTTGTAATAATAACACATCAAATTGCTGTAACGGTTCAAATAATAGCTGCTGTGGAAAATAAATTCGATCGCATTAAATCTAATGCTTATTTCATTTTGATTTGTGTATTTTTAAAACAAAAAAATTAAGAACCAATAAAAATTGTTTTTAATATTAGAGAAATTGGCTGTTTAAAATGTTAAATAAATCCAAGGTGGAATCAAAAAATATTTTTTTTTAAATGAAACTTTCTTAAATTCTAATTTGCTAGCATTTTCAAGTTCCAATTTTTAAATTTTGTTTGAATCGTACAAAAGTGTGCTGTAAAATGCTACGAAAATACGAAAAATTCTATAATTTTGTATGAAAATATCTATTTCGTTAAACATTTAAGGATTGTTCTGTCTGCTTTCTTATGAATATAGTTTTGTGTAATTTTTTTCACAATTTCTGTCTGTTTATAGCAGTGTTGTCCAAACTTATTGAGATACCGCACACCTTAGAGGTAAGATAAGGTGCTGTACAAACTTACAAGTTGAACAACACTTGTTTTTAAGAAGGAACAAACATTTGACAACACTTCTGTCTCAAAGTTGTTCAACTGCATCACAAATATCAACCAAATTTCAAACTTTGAAAATTTCAATTATTTAAATTAAAGTTCAGATTGCATTATCAAAGAGAAAGGTGAGGAGTCGAGTCTAAATCTTCAAATACTTCAGTTTCTTTTTTGGGAAAAAAACTGTGATCATGTCTGATTGATTCAGTAATGAAAAATACTATTAAATGCTCCAACCAATGTCAACAAATTAAATTGACCTTTATTAAAACAATTGAATTTAAATCTACAAAAAAATCTATAAGTATTCGCAATGTTTGGTATATATCAATTGTTTATTGTTTGATAAGAAAAGCCGAAAATTAAAAGCAATATTTTTAATTAAAAAAAATAATTATCAAGATTTTAGTTTCCTATAAATGTAATAATTTCTTTTGGGTTTGAGGCATTGTGTTATACAGTTTTTATCATCATGAAATGTTAGTGTAAAATATTTTTAAACCTCAAAATTAATAATAATAATAATTTTGTCTTATTTTTTCAGTTTTATTGGTCGCATTACTTTTCATCTGCGCAGTTTCTGCAGCACCGCAAGGTGAAATTGAAATTCAATCTGCTCAATGGGGAGGTGGATGCGGTGGGTGCTCATGTTCACCATGCCAAGGATGGTCATGTCAACCAACATGTCAACCATCTTGTTGTCAAAGAAATGTTGTTGCAGTCCCAGTTCCCATAAGAGTTCCAGTTTTTATCCCAATGCCAGTTCAATGCTGTAGCTATAATGATCAAAGTTGTTGCAGCAGCTCATCAAACTGTTGCAATGGTTCAAATAACAGCTGCTGTTAATAATTGCCATTAAAAATCTGTATGAACGATGAACGAATTTTGTATCAATTTTTATTATGTTTAAGAAATAAAATTTTACTTTTTTGCAAAATCTGATGAAAATATCATGCATTATAAAATGTCAAAAGCTATAGTTGAATAAAACCGATTTTAAAATTCCAGAATATTTTTTTTTGATTTTCTTTGACAGTATGAATTTAAATTGAATTTGTTTTACCAGAGGCTTTATATCGATTTTAAAATTAAACCAAATAATTCGCAACTAATAATCAATGAGACGACAAAAATTATTTTAATGTCTAATTCTATACAAAAAGATGCTAATTTTAAAATTTCCTACTTCCCTTGCATCTTCACTGGATCCTGATTATTTTAAACATGATAGATTTGGCGACTGTGATGCAAATTATTCTTGTTTTCAAAAAAATAAATTTTTGATTTTTTTACTTGTTTAAAAAAATACTTCAAAGTTAGTTTTTTCAACAACCTATGAACAATAGTGTTAAGCAACCGAAAATATTTTGTACAATAAGAAAAAAAAAATAAAATTCTTTGTCTTAAAAGAGACATCAAAAATTTAATTTCCTGATAGAATTTTCATCAATGAGTTTCAATGTTACAGATAAATTTAGAAACTATAGTTGTATTTTAAAACAATAGCCTTGGAATGAATCTGATAAAGAAATTTTTTTATAATGTTCTAAAACGTGCGTGAGTTTTTGCCAGTAAGATAAATTTTATTTTACAGAAGAAGCTTCCAACTTGTCAATTTTGCAAAACATTATATTTATTAAAAGTCATTTCCTATCATATCTTTTTTAATTATCTTAATATATGCCTATAGTATAAAAGGAACAGCGAGTTTTGCAATATTGTTAGTTTGGTTACGTTGAAGATCCAATTTGAAAATGAAATGTTAGTTTCGGTAGGCAATAGAAAATTAGCAAAAAATAATAATTCTAATTATTGCAGACATTTTATTGGCATTACTTTTGGTACATGTTGTACACTCTGCATCATCTGAGTTTGCCGATGTTGAAGTCGAAATCGAACCAGCTCAATGGGGTAATCAATGTGGTGCATCATGTGGATGTCGGCAACAATGTGCGATGATCTGGTGGAGACCTTGCAATTGTGGTGTAGGTTTTTTTTTCATTTTTAAATTAAGGTTCAATATTTTATATAAATGCATTTTAGCCATGTATCCCAAGTTGTGGATGTTGTCCAACTACAACCACTTCAACGACAACCACAACAAGTAAGTATTTACTAGAATATTTAATCAATATAAATAATGAATATACATCTAATTTCTTCATAAACCTTTCTTATTTTCTTTGTTTAAGCTACAACCACTACAACAACAACAACCCCTCCGTAAGCTTGTTTTTGAGGTTAAAAATGGTAAACAATTCCTAATTTATTATTTATTTGTTTTAAGAACTCCGCCACAACCAGACCCTGAAATAACAACACCTTCACCTTGCAATAGATGTTCATGTATGCCATGTAGGATGCCAGTTGTATGGATGTGCCCACCAAGGTATAAAATTTATTATAAGTTGTGTCTACAAACAAAAAACTTTACTTAATACTTGAATTATTAGATGCGGATCTTCATGTTGCGGTGGATCATCAAGTTGCTGCAATGGATCAAACAATAGCTGTTGTAATAACACATCCAACTGCTGTAATGGTTCAAACAATAGCTGCTGTGGAAAATAAGATGCTGTTGTTAAATTAAATTTTTGAGAAAATATTGATTTTTTTTCTCAAAATTTCAAAGTCCCAAAAAAATATATTTTCAATATACAAAAACAAATATAATTGTTAAACTTAATAATTATTGTGCAAATAAAAGAAATGATATTAGAGAAATTAAATATGCTAGTCTTTTAATTATTGATTTAACGAAATGATATTTTAGCATAAATCTTATTATCGCAATAATGTATATTTTTAAAAACCTATGTGCAGAAAACAATTTACAAATTTGGTTTATAAATTTTTTAAGGAATATTTTTGGTCAATAGATTAATTAAAAATTAATTAATTTAATAAGTTTTTGGACATTCATATTTATTGCTGAGCAATTTTTCAAATTGTTTTACGAAATATTCTCTTAATTAAAGTCTAAAAGTGAAAAGAGTCATAAAATACATCATTTCCACTTTCATGAATTTTAACTTTAATTTGTCAGTTTCAAAAAAATTTAATTTTTCTCAGTATACATGAACTAGATTAGGGTTTAAGGAACCTTTTAACAGAAAACAGAAAAACAGCTGTTTTTCGACAAAAATCTGTTAACAGAAAACAGGTCTCAAAAACAGATCTGTTTTCTGTTTTTCATTTTTACATATAATTTACAGAAAAAAAAAATCTTAATTTTTTGAAGAACTTAATATATTTTTCTAGCATTCCAAATTGAAATGTATTCACTATTTTAATATTTTTGGGATGTTTAATAGCTTTGAAATCATTGTCAAATTTATGATTAATCATTATTGATTTTGCAATCGAAATTTTAAAATTGTTGAACCTTTTGGAACATTTAGGTACTAAAGTTCAAAATATAATCAACAATTTTACAAGATATTTTTTTATTCAGAAAGGTTTTTTGAATATTTCAAATAAAATATTAGAGTTTATGGAACTTTTGCAATGCAACAATGCAATGTTTCTTAAAAGTATAAATATTTTTTTTTGAATTTTTTTATATTTCATGATATTTTATTATATTTTATAGAGTTAAATAACGAAAAATTAAGAAATAATAATACTTAGCTCTATAATGTATGCTTAACTGCTAATAACCATCAAAAATTTTCATTATCTTAGAGAAACACTTAGGATAACTCAGTTTATTTTGAATTCTAGAAAAACAGGAAAACAGCTGTTTTTAAAAATCAAAAACCGAAAACAGACTGTTTTTCAAAAACAGCTTTTTTCCACAAACCCTAAGAGGAGGTTTTAGATTTTAATAAAATCTTTGTTTATGGATAGATTCATTTTTAAACTTTAACGATTTTCTGATATTTTCCTTAATGTAAGCTTTATCTGTTATTTTTATACTTACATCTGATTAATATAAATCTTAAAATGTTTTAAATTTGTACACAAAAACTTCAGATTAGCTGAATCTACTTCTACTTCTAGTGTACTTCGCAACTTTTTAATTTCGATTAATCTGATGAAAAATCTTTTACAATTTTAAACAGTCTTCAAAATCCATTGATGAATTTATGACCCTTGATTTTAATTGTTTTTTAAAAATCATTAAAGACTGTAAAGGCATTGAAATATTTTCAATTTTTTGTATTCTTTGTAATTAACCGACCATTTCAACCGATAATTTTTGCAATAATTTTTGTTTGTTCGTGCAAAAATTGCCGGAACATATGAAATACAAGAAAAACATCATTTAATGATACTGAAGAGGAAAAAAATCATGCAAACTTGTTGATTGCTTGTTTTGATAACATTTTCGCAATATAAAATGGTTCAATTTTAAGAAGCGGCTGTCAGTTACTGTTGCTCAAGCCATAACTGCAAACATTTTTTATAATAATTTTTACAACTTTATTCAGTAAAATGAAGTGTAAGAAGGCTTCTTACATAAATTTGAATTATTTGAAACATTCTTGATTTTTGTTTCAGACTTTCTGGTACTCTTAGTCTTCACTTATGCTGTTTTAGCAGAAGATCAAATCGTTGAAGGAGATGAGGCTAATGCTGACATTGATTCTGCTCAATTTATGATGCCAATGGGAGGTGGATGCGGCAATACTTGCAGCTGCAGACAAAGATGTGTTATGATTTGGTGGATGCCATGCAATTGCGGACCATGCAATGGTTGTGGATGTTGCAACGATGATGGGGATCAAAATACACCTCCAACTGTAACAACAACTCCAACAAGTAAATAATTTAATTTTTTGGTTATGCTTTCTTTTATCAGAAAAAGGCACTTTTAATCCTCTGCAGTGCCTTTAAGGATAGGCTGAACCAAGTTATAATTTTTCATAAAAAGATTATTGAAGAATATAATCTTTTAATGGGATTATTTAAGGAATATAATCTGCGGGAGCTTTGAATCATATTTTCTAAATTGCTTAAAAAAAATTTCAGCAACTACAACAACTCCAACAACAACAACAACAACAACCGTTACAACAACGACACCAAATTGTGACCGTAAGTATTCTTAAAAAATAAATTAACCTTAAATCGAAGTGAATTTGAAATGGAATAGAGGTTTTCAAAAATATATATTCTTATTTATAGGAAGCTGCTGTTCAGGATGCTCATGCAGAAGACCATGTAGCATTTGGTGGATGTGCCCAAGACCATGTGCTCCATCATGCTGTAACAATAATGGATGCTGCAATTCGTAATAAATTAAAACATGATTTTATTAAATTGTGATTAACTTTGAAAATTTATTCAGAAACCCAACCCCACCTCCTCAACCACCATCTAGTTGCTGCACATGCCCTGAATGTGTTCCATGGTAATACAATAGAATATTACTTTTATTCCAAAAACTTTAATTCTTAACTTATAATTAATATGACTTAAGGTCACCATGTCAACCATGTAGATGCCAAACAAACTGTTGTCCTGGATCAAATTGTTGCAGCGGAAGTGGATGTTCAACACCAACAACTGTACCAACTTTAATAATTGAGGACAGTAATAACAAACAAGTTGATCAATGGGATCATTGGGATAGCAAAATTCCAGACCGTAGAGATCCATGGAATGAAGCTCCACCAAGATTCCCAAGAGATCCAATTTCAAATACTGACAGATTACACAAACTTGAAGATTGGGAAATTAGAGAAATTCTTGACAGACGTGATCGCCGTGACCCACGTTATTAAATCGTTTTTGAATAAAAATATTTTGTATTTGATATTAACGATAAATTTTTGAGGTTTTTGTTCAAAGTTTCACATAAATAAGGAGACTAAATAAATTATACATGAAATTGAGTGACCACATTCGTTGAGTTCAGTTTTTTATTGTTAAAAATAAACAAACTGCTATAAAAATAATTAATAAATAATCTAATTTTGACCAAGAATGTAATTTCTGG